TGTACATCTGTACATCTTTATGATTTGACGCAAATAAATGGGGAAAATGGAATGTGAAAAATAAATAAAATTAAACTATGAAGTTGAAACTTTCTTTAAAAGGGTAAAAATGATATTTCCTTATCAACACGATTATGATTGAACTCAGCGTTGTAGTTCCAACGAACCTGTTTTGACATCTTGGATGTTAAACTCCGAGAGAAGCTTAGCAAGCTTATGTTCTTTTTCTTCCTTTTTCAAACCATTCCACCAACTGTCTACGAGCTGTCGTGCGATCTTATAGAGTAGTGACGAACTGGGTAGATCGATGAATCCAACAATGAGGTCATCATTAACACGGAGGGCTTTCCCAAGTGAACATGCTAATGGCAGACTTTTCACTGATAGAGCGACGCGGCACAGCTCTTCTGTGTTTGGTGTACCCCCACATTGGTCAAGGTCATCATTGTTTTCCTCGCGCTCTTCATCAAAATCAAACCATGAAAAAAAATCATCTAAGAAGTGCATCAATTTTCTAATCTCTAAATTTGATATTTGTTATTGATATTTTTTATATTTTGATATTTATCATGCCAACTAGAATTGTGTTAAAGGGCAACTCTAACCCAACTAACATAGCCTTTCAAAACATGAATACACCTCTACTTATTAATATTCCAGCCTCTAATTTTTCAAAAAAATATAAATTGACCAAAAAATGATAATAACCATCCATTTTTCACAGATCTCACGCTTGCTGGGCTACGCTCCTCGAAGAGAAGGTAATACGGTTATGTGGCTTGATGACGCATTTGTCATTGCGGGCATGTTCGATATGTCCTACAACTAAGGGTCTTACAATCTCATTGTAATTCATAATTAGGAATGACGAAATTGCTAGAAACGTATTAAGATTATGAAGAGCATATTATTTTTTTTAAGACATTTTAATGCCTAAATCACACTCTTTTTCACTGGAGAGGCTCCTGCAGTGACGTCATATGCTTTTGCGCAATACAGCTGTCTGGGCTTTTTTTCTGGGCGTTCTGAGTCGTCATTTTTAAAGCTAGATTCCAGAATTGTTGATGATTTCTAAGAAAAATCTTTTTCATGTTCGGAATCTCCGTCAAAAATTATTCTACATGTCCTTTTTACATTTTTTAGCCCGTTTTGGTTAGAATGGCCTTTAAACAAACGGTATGTGTATAATGCTAGCATTGTCCCAATCATATGATGTTATCATTCTGTTATCTACCTGTATCTGATGTTTCAATGATATCCATATTTTCAGGCTCTATAGGCTCGCTTGGTGTGGTTATTTCATCAGGAGTCGCTGAAGAGATCATACACAAGCTTTCGTCTGAGAGTAAAATATATAAATATTAAACAGCATGTGCGTCATGACAGTCATAGCAGTCATGACAGTTGAGGCTTCAGCTTTAAGTTGTGTGTATACCACATAAGTTTTCTCCTATACCCTATGTCTTAGTGAGTATAAAGATGACTCCACCTTATCTCGTCTTATCTCGTGAGATAGGTTTTTTGAAACATCAAAATGACTGATATGAACGACATTTTCAGCCCTAATAGTCAACCCAGAGCTTCAAAATCATTTCTATGACTACTAAACATGTAATCGTTCAATTCCATTGAAGACAAAGTTAAGTTAAGATGTCTGTTCGTGTCTACATTTATTAGAATTACCAATTATATGATGTACAATATATACTAGTAATAGAGCTATTATCTATTAACAATGGAGAAGAACAATTGCCTGCATTCTCAGCGGCTGCCGTAGATGCCAAGGAGACAGTTTCCCAAATGCGCGTCATCGTCTCCGTCGCTTTAGGATCCGATCTTTGAGATGCCTTCCACATGCAGAGCATTTGGATGTTAGCGTCTTTGCGATTCTGCATTGTCTTGTGTTTGATGTTCTCAAGCTCATTCCGTCTGAAGCCAAGCTTTTTGCCAATATCTATGAAGTCCGTCCACTTGATATGTCGAGCCAATTTAAGCAAGGCTTGGTCTGAAATGTCACTAAATATATTGAGAATAAATGATGTTCATTATACTAGAATCAAAGGTTATCTCGACTTCTGGTTAGTGAACTGCTTTGCGACAGAACTAAGTCATCCAGTCAATCGGATTTTTGCCGTGCAGTAGGATAGATCGATTGCTTCGACCAGCAAAGCATATATAAACAAATTAAGCAATGAATCCTTGAAAATCAAATTAAATTTATGTTTTTTTTTATTTTTTCGTAATTTTGTTAAGCTTTAAAACACTTTTACTATATTTATTTCACTGATATACCACTAATCTCATTTATCAGAAGGTTCCCTGTAAGTTTAGATGTATGCAATTGTATTTTCCATCATAAAGCAGAAGATTACCTTTTATATTTAACGTTATTACCTCTTGTAACTCTCTATAAAATCGCCTTTAATTCTTCCTATTTTGTATTTGCAAAGACAATTCAAATAAGTTCACCAAACCTTTTAAATAGCACCATATGCATGTGTTAATTAGCGATTTAGTTGGACTAACTATACAGAATAGCGAGTATTAGTATATGCTTCAGGAATGTTGTAGTTTGGCTTCCTGTTTCATTTCATAATTTTGATCTTACTTTGTCAACTATATTCTTTATTGTGTAAACAATTGTCATATGAAATTAATAAAATCAATCAATCAATCAATATGCCACAGTGTTGCTTATTTGTGTATTACTGGTGACAACTTAAAAGATACGTTTTTTTCCTATTTCAATCGGATATTGCTCAAGCTCTCCCTAATTTGTTTCGCTTATTTTCCGGCTTTTATGAGTGTACCAGCTAATTATCAGGGTGGACTTCCTGTTTGATAATCTCCTTTCTTGATGTTTTGACTTGTAACGCTGCCACACTTACTCTTGGTTTATTTCATTAAAAAAATAAAACACACACGGTTAGAATTTTCAGTTAGGGCTGCAGTAGGGTTTGAGGTTACATTTACGGTAAGGGTTAGTGACTAAACATAATCTTACCCGGTTGGAGTATTATCTGAAGTATGGTGACCAAATATAAAGGACGTCATTGTTGCATGAAAAAAAGAAATTAGATACAGTCAAATTAGATTCTTCTGCATAATCACAAATGATTCAGTGAAAAACTAATAATAAATTTTTGAAAGCATAATTTTAAATTTATTTTTCACATTCTTTCTTCTTTCATAATTGGCTATGTATTTTTGAAATATATGAAATCTTTGCACTTTATGGATCATACTATTTCAATTACAACTGCTATCATCATTTATACTGCTATTTTTATTATTAATCACCATTATAAATATGTAAATACTTTTTTCATTGTTATTGTTATTTATTATTGTTGTTAATTATGAATTCTTATCATTATAATCGTAATTTGTTCTTATTATTTAAGTCTATATTGCAGTGTTTGTACTGTTAATAATAACGGTTCCTACGTCAATATTTTTATATCAGGGTATTTCTACCTTTTTGTCTTCATTGCAATGTTTAAAATCAAAATTTTCTGCTTTTATAGCACGTTGCAATTCTTAAGTTAGACGGAGGCCGCGCCTTTTCATCCATTGCTCCTTCTTTGTCGAAGCGTTTTCCATCCTTTCTTCATCTCGCAGAAGCGTAATAAAATTATTTTGTTATAGGAGCCTGCGACTTTTAATGTTGTTATATAGAGACATATTGCGCCACACTAATGATGACTAAGATCATCATTGGCGTCAAACTGTTTTCCCCATAGAATCAATTACCAATGTATAACTAAATCAAAAGATGAGCACATATCCATACACAGCTTAGGTAGTATTTATTTGGAGTCGGGTTCGAATCATCAGGCATTATCTTTGGTATGCTTAAGACTGTTAAGAATATGCTGATAAATCTAAATGAGTAACAGTAAAAACCTGTCGTTTTCGTCTTTTCTGCCTCTGTTTCTGCAGACTTCAGGACTGAAAGAAGCTTTTCTTTCACGTTTTGACTTAGTAGTTGACTCTGTTTCCATGTTTGCAACATTTCGAAGATGGCCTCTTGTCTGTCTTTGAGCCACTTGTACTCTATTGCATCCAGTTGTTGTATTTGGAAACCAAGTGCAACTCCCAGGTCATAAAAGTCGTCTATCGAAAGCTTTTCAGCAATTTTCCGGACATCTTTATCTTGGAGATCATTTCCAGAAGTTCTTTTGATTTCTCTGTAAAAACAAATACATGTAACTGTATCTCTATCTTAGTTAACATGAATTTCCTGCATGGTGTTGCATTATGAAATGTTATTTATATTCCAAATTACATCTAAATTTTCTACTAAAGGAAGAGAACAAAATCAAGAATATGAATACCTTATATTGCAGACAATAGGCATTGTCTCTCACTTAATATCTTAAACGAAATTGTAACTGAACTTTGAGGGGAAAATTCGTAATGCACCTTAACCTAACATACATTTATTTAAAAAATGTGAATAGATTGATAACGACGTGCTTACCGGATAGCTGGAGCAAACTCAGGACACTTGATTTTATCTACAATCATGTATTCGATGATAAAGAGATTTAAAAGAAAATGTGAAAACATGAAGACAATTTTTAAATTTTTATTATTTTAAAAACAGTCATGTTCCATACTAAATTTCCGAAGAAAAACGATGACAATTCTATGTAAATCAATGAATATGGAATGTATACCAATTAATTTCAAATGCGTGTATGTCCCAATTGATCAAAATATTTGTGTATCATAAGAAACTCTCCCAATAGCTGATAAGAAATATAATATAATGATATGCCTGCGCAAGTATATCTTTATACGAAACTGATAATTACTTTCATTTTCCCGAGTAAAGTTTATCTGTTAAGTCTAGTTTATAAAAGTAACAGCCGGAGCTAAGAATGTTAAGGAAAATTAACTTGCCGATTAAAAAAAAACGTGGACGAAAATAACGTTCATTGTTTCATGTAAAATCATACCTCTTAATTTTTTTTTAAAGTCAATCTCTCCATATTTCAATACCGGGATGGGTTACATATTGTAGACAAACCTTCGTATCTAATGCCGAATGCCATTGATCGAGATACCCCTTGCTTCCCAGACTGTGTAACTGAGATGGATACCACGTCAAATGGAGTATCGTCCTCACTCGGGGGCACTTTTAAGATTACGTTATGTCTCATTCGGCTGTGAATTTCCTTCAGAGAAAGCTGATAAAGGACGAGAAAATTTGATTTTCAGAAACAAATAACATTCTTCTTTTTTCTAAAAAGTAACAAGAAAAGCGGTTCCGTATCCGTGTTTGCGATTTTATGTCATTATTTATTTCCCTCATACGAAATTGGCCTTGATAATTTTGTGTATGGCACCTTCAAGTGTATTGTATCAAGGTAAAATTATAAAACTTGTCCTACTCGGAATTATTTTCCGGATTTCAGGGTTTCAGATATTCAGTAAAGATTTATTGCATTATATAAGAAAGAAAGATGTTTAAAAGATGCGAAAATTAAAAAAAAATGTTAAATAGAACCTTTCCAACACAACTGAGTTATTATTATTCTTATGTTATTGAGACAAACATGTTTAAAACATTGCAGACCTGCCCGGACAATTACCCTCATGACAAAAGACAAAGAATAATTCTTTTCCGGGCAATCATTGCGGATATTTACACACAGGACAATTACCTCCCTGGACATCTTACCCCGGGACAATTACACCTATAATTACAGCATTATATGAAAATAATAATACCTCTGGCATTTTTAACTCTGACATTTTACATAGAAAATCTCCCCACCCCCCCCCCCCCCGAATTCGAATTGACAATAATTATTGGCCCCGGCTACAGACACTCAGATGGTCTCTTTGCACCCTTTTTACAATTCTCCCCGGTACTGTCAAATATATGTCTTTTTGATGACGAAATTTCTTTCGATGAGTGTAAAAATTTAATTGGCCTCTTCGCTCATAATTTGGAAACCTGATAATTGATCATCATGCAAAAGACGTCAGCCACGCTCACTTAATAAGCCAGTTCATAGATACAATCTGCGCATGGGCAGATAAAGGTCATTTGTACCAAAAAGGTAAAAACCTACAGAGATAAATACTGGATATGCGCTCATGAAAGTTATGTAACATTATTCATTTATGCACCAACGGTACATTCTATGATACGCAGGTGGAAGTATTCTTTTCAAGAGGGCAAACAAAAGGTATTCATGAAGCACATCTAGGACTTAGGCAGTTATTATTCTAATATGCTCAAAGTGGAACTTCTCCATGTGTAAAAGATCTGTGGATATTTGGGGTCATTTGTATCATGTGCTATCTGTAAACTCCCTTATTGTCGTGATGCTATACGTCTTAGGGTTTAATTGCCCTAGAGGTAATTTTCTTGGGCTAATTGCCTTGGGTGGTAATTATTGTCCCGGTTATACTGTGCCTGAGGATAATTATTATCCTGGGGTAAAAAGTCCACGGGTAGATGTTCGGGGGGGGGGGGGGGTGTCCTGGGGGTCAGTTTTCCGGATAGGGCTGTAGTCTTATCATGTCTCAATAACAGATCGACCTACAGGAATTGATAATTTGTTTAAAAATAAGGAGCCTGGGAGAACAATAATAGTTTCTAAAATTTTGTGGGATATGTTTTAATTAACGAATCTTCATTTGTGCCTGATGACTCAAACCTGACTCCAAATAAATACTCCCAAAGTATTAGACTATATTCCTTCATTATAAGCCTTAAACTGTAAACTTGAGTTTCTGAAAGGTTGAAATGTTAAAAATCTCTCCGAGGGGGACTTATTTCTTTTTCCCCTGATATAACTTGGAGACACCATACAATCAACGAGTTGCTAATTTCAGTAAGCGCGCCGAGCCGTGCGCGTCTTGCCATGCCGGCTGCACCGGAACCCTAAATGTTGAACAAACACATAAAAAGCACAGTAAAAAAAAAAGTAAGGTTAGTTTTATACATTCTATCTGTACACAAAATACATTTTAGGTTATTGTTGTCCTTTAAAGATACTATGTCCCTTTTGCAGCCAACATCAATTTTCTTAGAACTTTGCAAGAATTATGAATATGTCATGTATGTCCTATCTGTGAAGTGCATACGTTAGCAGTGTCCTAGTATTCAAATTATGCAAGGAACCTCGTTTAGTTTCACGATTTCACTGTCAGACACTTTTTTCCCCTTTTTTATTTGGTTAGAGCGTACATAAAATGAGCTGTAACAGGTACATGAGCATTTGTTTACATTAATGTAGTATTGTGAGATTTGTTGCCTCCTGTGGCTGGACCTGGGTTTGGTGCAGGCTATTGTTTAGTGTGCACTCATGCCTATCTTGCAATGGCTTGAGTGCACGCTGGACAATGACCTGGGCTTAGGTTCGGTTGCAGGAGGTGACAGCTTTCACATTACTGGAGAAGACATTACTGCAGAGAAATCACAAGTGGTGCACGTGCATAGTGGGCAATTGAGTTACATGTGAGTTAATCATTCGATTATCCTTATAAATTTTACATTTATTTATTTTTTATATGTAATACATGTATCCTACTTATATGCTCGTTGAACAATTATTGATGTTCCTTTTGGCATAATTTGAGTGTGTAACAGGTTCTTGCAATGCGATCCTTTTTATAGTATTTGAGTGGCGTATGTGCATGTACACGAAGTGAAATCCTAAACTCACACTTGTTAATTTTATTGGTGGTACGATGTTTTACAATTTTATACAATTTTATACAGATTAATGGTCTATTATAACTGAATTGTATGTACAGTATATATACCTTTGAATTTTGCTGTATGTTAATTGTAATGTATTACGTTTTATCCCTCATAGGACCACAAAGACTGTATTGCATGCATGTACAAGGGCGTACCTTGAAGTCAAGCCTTTTTTATATAGTGTGGGCGGTGAGTCTTATTGGTTTTTAATTTGTATTAAAAAGATATTGTTTGCATTATGTATTGAATGAATCTGTTGTTAATTTTTACACTTCAACTGTAATTTAGGTTTTACTTAAGTGATGTAAGGCATTATATTGTGAAATGAAAAGTTAACTGTCCTTCAGCCGTTATATTGGACATGATATATTATTTATTTAACCTGTTCATTGAAGTCATGAAAATAATAGTGATGATTATTTAGTTGATGCAATGTTTGAAGCTGGTCTATAATGGGCTTATTTACTGAACACCTTCTTTGTTGCTGATGCAGATCATGAAGTATATAATTATGTAATCGGTTATTTGAATATTATGATGTTTTTAATTTACGTTTGTTTTTACTCTTTTGTGTTTCTACAGGGGCTGTTTTGTAGCCTTCAAAATAAAACAACCAAACTACAATGCAAAGCGTCTGAGAGTGAATTCTTTGGCCTTTCTTTCATTAATAACCCACAACTTGTAATGGCCATAATTAGGTGCCAGGTAAAAATGTCAAAGGAAAAAATGTCAGAGGTAAAAATGTCAGAGGTAAAAATGTCAGAGGTAAAAATGTCAGTGGTAAAAATGTCAGAGGTAAAAGTGTCAGAGGTAAAAATGTCAGAGGAAAAAATGTCAGAGGTAAAAATGTCAGAGGTAAAAATGTCAGAGGTAAAAATGTCAGAGGTAAAAATGTCAGGGGTAAAAATGTCAGAGGAAAAAATGTCAGAGGTAAAAATGTCAGAGGTAAAAATGTCAGAGGTAAAAATGTCAGAGGTAAAAATGTCATATGTAAAAATGTCATAGGTAAAAATGTCAGAGGTAAAAATGTCAGAGGTAAAAATGTCAGAGATACAAAGAAAATGTCAGGTACAAAAAAAAATGTAGGGGGAAAAATTGGTGCTATCATTATATCTCGGCACTTTATCACACAAAATGTCAAGATGTAAGCTACTGGGCTTGTCTCTTATATTTTATAAATGACTGTGTATTGTACTTCGTACATGTCCTGAGGATAATACAATGTGGAAAATAAATTTGAAACTTATATTTTGTGATCAGGTTTGCATATATTAATTTCTATCATTTTTCGATATTTTATATTGGTTGATGTTTTAATGTTTATTTGGTTTTGAGGAAGTATGCCATAACATATACATAGAATATTAAGATTGAATGAGATACAACAGGGAATCAGTTATAAAGATCGCACAGAAATTCCACAAATTCAGTAATTAGACCCATCTTCATGTCCATCCCAGCAAAGACTGTTATGACAAGAAAACGTTAATAAAAAGACACGGATGCTTTGTCCCCCTCATCAATACTTTATTACAAAAGTTTAACAATGTTCAATATTGTCAGATAGTAGGCCTACAAGTGGTAAACGTTGAGACATATCTACCCAGGTATTTTGTCATGTGCTTTCGAGTTTCGACCATAACACTGCAATTTTATATTTAAAAATTACGATTAAGAAACGTGGGAGAAATACAGTATAAGTACCTCAACTTCAACCGTTTTTGTTCTGCAAAATTCATGATGCATTTTGTTTAATGTGTAGACTTGTACGAATATGTACCTGCTGGAAACTGTCGTATACAGTGTATGCCAGCACACCTTGTATAAATCCTGCACCAAATATCCTTCAAACAATATTACCATGTATACAAGCAGTATCATGATCAGGGGCGTCAATCCTGGGGGGGACGGGGGGACACGTCCCCCCTCCCCACGAATGTTCAGGTGGTGAAATGTACCCCCCATGTTTTGTCAGAAAAGAAGTTCTTTAATAATTTAATGTAACGTCAAAGCTTCCGCGCGGGAGGGTGGGGGGGGGAACTGAATTCAAACAAGGATTAAGAGTCGAGAACGGTATACAACGAATCGTCTTCTTTCTCTCAAAATGTATTGAAACGTCAAAGATAAAAAAAAAAGGCAATGAATGAACCGGTCACCAATGAAATTACATGCCGTGAAACAGAATAACTAGAGAAAGAGTGTGTGTGTAGCAACATAACGTGGTATAATTTTGAAAGTAACTGTAAAGGTGACATGTAATTGTGTCCCCCCCCCCCCGTGCTCTAACTCGGATTGACGCCCTTGATCATGATGCTATAAATGTGTACAGTAAAACTATGTTTCTGATATGTTACTCATGAATAAATATTTGTCAATTTCAGTGTTTAATCTCTCACATCAAATAATTATAGAACGATGTAGCTTAAACAGAACCTCTGCAGAGCGCGCGCTTATCTGGAATATGATGGTGCGGTTAGCATTTGATGTAACATTGGCGGCTTTCTGCTTTGTATCAGAGTATCAAGCTGCTTATTGATGTTCTCCCAGACTATACCGCAATAGTGATCGACGATCAACTCTTTGCAAAGCGCGCGCTTCTCTGGAATGTGATGGTGCGGTTAGCATTTGATACATGGGCTGCTTTCTGCTTTGTATCAAGGTATCAAAGTATCAAGCACACAAAAAAGTGAAATTGTTGGAAATATTCATTTGTAGGAAATTACATTTTATAGTAGTCATTGCCACATTTTAAAATGTCCATCAATCTTCAGAAGGGACGGTGAAGTGGGGGCGGGGGGGGGGGGGAGGGCGGAGGACTCACGGCGTGATATGTTATCTTCTTCTTTCTTTTTTTTTGGGGGGGGGGGCTGTGATGACTTTCCTTTTTATTTAGTGATTACACCATCGAGCCACAACTCGGCCTATAATTGTTCATGGCCAAACTACTCGATTTTAGACATTCTTTTTTCCCAGAAGTTTGCTCAGTGTACCATTATCATTTGCTTAGACAAAGGCATATGAGGGGGAGGCAGCCGGGTCATTACGAAGGATGCACCCCCTCCCCCCGTCTCCGCTCGGCAATATTTGGGCAAAAGGTCTCAATTCCGGGCAGTAAGGTAAATAAAAGTTACAGAAAGAAGAAAATTAAGCGCTGACATTAATGAAATTTTTACCTCTGACATTTTTACCTCTGACATTTTTACCTCTGACATTTTTACCTCTGACATTTTTACCTCTGACATTTTTACCTCTGACATTTTTTCCTCTGACATTTTTTCCTCTGACATTTTTACCTCTGACATTTTTACCTCTGACATTTTTACCTCTGACATTTTTACCTCTGACATTTTTACCTCTGACATTTTTACCTCTGACATTTTTACCTCTGACATTTTTACCTCTGACATTTTTTCCTCTGACATTTTTTCCTCTGACATTTTTACCTCTGACATTTTTACACCGAGCCCATAATTAAACTGATTGAATCTTTGTGCTGCATACAATGTACGACCATTCAGTACAAGGGTCTTAAAATCAGACTATTACTTAGGTGGTTGCAATCACTAGTGTTGATTCGACAACTAATGGTCGGTATTTTCCCACCAAAAAAAAAAAACATTTTCAAACCCTTTAGTTTTGAGGGAAGTTCTAAATAAGTATTGTCTTTAAAATGCCGTTGGAATTTAACCTTTACATTTTGTTTGGAAGCAAATGTATATTGTCTATCTGAGTAGAAGAGTAGAAGGAAAACAAAGCTGAAGTAGTCGACCTGCCAAAAATCAGAACATCAGGCAGGGAGATTATCAAAGGGGAAGTCGACCCTGATAATAGCTGGTATTGATAAAAGCCTAAAAATTAGAGAAACACAAATTTTAATTAGATTTTGAGCGATATTCTATTAACCATAGGAAAATTATGATTTTGTGAAGTAATGTCATCAATGATACACAAATTGGCAACATTGTGACGTACCTTGCGAGGCTCTATGCAATATGCTCTTGACTGAAATTTCATAAACTTTCATTTTCTAAGTGATTGAAAACGGAGTAGATTTGTTTCATGCATGTATTGTATAGAAACATATTTGCAATAATTGTTTTTAGGGTGCACATTTGAGATTTTAAGGAATAAAGAAAGTCTTGATTAGTTTTAAAATACAGAGAAAATGAGAAGGTATCTCGCAAGAACCGTCAAATAGTTGACAATGTGTTTACGATTGGTCATAAATTCAAATATCTATAGCTTTCTTGATTTAAATCGGGTTTTGCTCAACTTTCACTGACTTGTTCTTTTAATTTGTCTGCTTCCATTAAACCTAACTTCATATCAGTGACTTCCTCTTTAGGAAAAAACTTATTTTCGTACCTTAGTTTCTGCCGTCTTCCCCTTACAATCACGTGCCACTGTAACGTCACCTGAATGAGATATGATGCTAAATGGGACCGATCGATGGGCCTTGCGGTACGACTGAAGCTTCTCCTCCTGTAGAACTTCCTTTATCAAAGAAGGGAAGAAAAGCAGTTTAGTAAAACACGGGCCTAATGAATCGGAAAGTGTCCCGGGTTCTCATGGACATTTGTCTTGGGGTATATCCCGGGGTCCACTGAACAACACTATTTTTCACAATCATTATCGTGATTCCATTTGATTTTATTTCCGTGGAATTCAAAAATATCGATGGGTGAACATTGGGAGTTCGCCCAACTTTTACTCAGATAGCATTTCGGAAAAACCCATAGGCCGCTAACGGATGACTCTTGAGGACATATTAGAATGTCATTCTGTACTTTATCTTGGTAGTACCAGAGGAAATTCAGCTTTTTACCAGCATTTTTTATGAATTAAAAACAATTATTCGACCCTGTTCAACAGCTTCCTCCCGGCTTTAAACTTTTACTTAAAAGTTACTTTATTGATCAATATACATTTTGATTTCCATATATTTTTTAAAATAATAATGTTAATTTACCACATTTATGTACACTGTACATGTAGTCTCTCTTCCTCCTTCTTTTATCTTTATTTTGTTAGAGTAAAGAGGATAAGTGTGCGTGCGTGTGTGTGTGTGTGTGGGCGTGTGTTTTTTTTTTTTTTTTTTTTTTTTTTAATATTACAATGAGCTTTATTTCGATAACGCATTCTATGTAAATTCACATATCTTAGTAAATGACTGATACATATTTAAAACTTTTTCTGTAAAGTGAAAACAATTCGAGTATCTGGATAATGGTCCGATCTGTTCACCCAGCCAAAAGTATTTTGTTTTAAAGCCAGGTGGTGGTGTGATGTTTTGAGAGGGAGGAACGTGTTGGGATCCGGTATGCATGCTTGCCTATCATTATGTCGGGCTGACGTTTGGTGTTCTTTCGAGTTGTCGGGAACGCCCTTTAGGAGTTTTTTTTACGAAGTGCATACAAAACGATCAGGTGTGTGAGCCTATTCATTCATGGGTGAGGCTTATTATGCAAATTATAGAACTTGGTAAATGATAGCATGATGGGTTCGGTTTGCACGAACAGTTTATTAGGTTGCCGAACTGGTTTATTGGGATCGTGTTTTTATTTTTAATTAGAAGGTGCGTATTGTAATTAGGTACGCGGGCCGGTCAATTCACTGTAATGCATTTTAGGAAAATCATTTAACTTAGTTATGACGAGCGGGTTCCGTAATACAATTCAAGGCATTTGTTAAGGGATAAAAGCTCTTTGTATTTTTTTTGTTTTTTTGTTTTTGTTTAATTAGATTACGGTTATATAACAATACAACGTATTTCTCATCGACTTGTGCAAGAAGAAATGTTCATTGGTTTATTCTGTCATTGGTCTAGTTAAATTGACAGGGAAAGGGGGAGGCTCTTGCTCTCGGATGTTTACGTACACCGAAGAGCAGATTTTGGTTGTTTTGTGTGGGGGTGTTGTGTGTGTAGTGAATATGCTTGTGTGTATGAATGCGTTGGGTTGTGTGGTACGGGGTGGATTCTGCTTGCATTTTTTATATAATTCGACGATAAGTATGCATATATGTTTGGCTGCAGATAGTTTTTTCTATACATTTGCTCACGGTGGAAATAGATTGTGTGGAAGTTTCTTTGGAGTTTATCGATGTAAGGTTTTGGATACAATTACACATAAAATAACATGGCAGTGAAATTATCTTTCATGACATTAAATGTTAGAGGAATAAGAGATAGGTTAAAAAGAGTGAATATTTTTGAATGGTGCAAAACTAAAAAGAATAGTATAATTTTCTTACAAGAAACATATAGTACAGTAGAGATAGAAGAGCGGTGGAAACAAGATTGGGGAGGGCCAGTGTTTTTTAGTCATGGGTCAAACCATAGTAGAGGGGTTCTTATTTTATTTTCTAATCATTTAGATTTTGAAGAAAAAAAAATTAAAGTAGATGAAGAGGGGAGATACATTATTTTTAAAGGTGAAATACAAAGGGTTAAAATGCTATTGGTTAATGTTTATTTTCCAACGAGAGATAAAGAAACTTTACAAATTGAATTTTTGAAGAAGTTAGATGAAAGTATTTTTGATCAGTGTGATCGGGACTATTTAGTTTTATTAGGAGGTGATTTCAATAGTATATTGGATGAAAAATTAGATTATGTGGGGTCAAAAACACCGGTGAAATCTCGGGTTATTGATTTGATTAAGGAATTTTTAAATAAATACGATTTAGAAGATATATGGAGGAAAAAAAATCCGAATGTAAAGCAATTTACTTTTCGACAAAATTGGCCGCTGGTGCAAAGCCGTTTAGATTATTGGTTTATACCTTGTAGTGTTGAAAAATTGGTGGGTACGTGTGAGATTTTGACATCTATTACGCCAGATCATTCTGGCGTTAGGCTAGAATTTAATGATCTTGTTGATAAGTTTGTTTTTGGGAAATCATATTGGAAATTTAACAGTAGTTTATGTATGGATAAAGATTTTGTTGAAGAGATGAATAAGGAAATACAGGAATTAAAAGCTGAATGGTCATTACAGATTTTGAATAAATTAGTATTTTGGGATTTTTTAAAGATGAAAATGAGAGAATTTATTATAACATACTCGCGGAAAAAGGCAAAAGCAAGGAGGGTTGAAATAGAACTGTTAGAGAAACAAATCAAGGATTTAGAAGGCGAACTGGTTGTGGGACCCACTAAATATATTGTTGATTGTATTGAGGAGAAAAGGGATAAACTAAATAAATTGTATGATTTTTCTCGACAGGGCATTAAAATAAGATCAAGAGCACCTTGGTTTGAAGATGGAGAAAACAATACGCAATATTTTGAACAGTTCTTAAAATCGAATAAAAGGAAAAGTGTAATTAGGGAGGTGTACAAAGAAAATGGGGAAACTACTAGAGATAAGGAGGAAATTTTAAAGGAAATTAAACTATTTTATAAAGATTTATATTCTTTAAGGGCTGATATAAATCAAAACGACCCTTTCTTTTTCAATGATATTTCAAAGTTAAATGAAGACAATAAGGAAATCTGTGAAGGTAAATTAACTAAAGATGAATGCTTGAAAGTTTTAAAAGAAATGAAATTGAATAAAACCCCGGGAAATGATGGGTTAACAGTTGAATTTTATTATACTTTTTGGCCAGCTTTGGGTGATTTGTTAGTAGAAGTATTGAATGAAACATACGAAAGGGGGGAATTAACGGCATCTCAAAAACAAGGGGTAATTACCTTAATTGAGAAGGAAGCGAAGGATACTCTCCATATAAAAAATTATCGACCCATCACGCTTTTGAATGTAGATTATAAAATTGTATCTAAAGTTCTGGCAAAAAGAATGAAAGAGGTTTTAAATGAAATAATTCATCATGATCAAGTTGGATATATAAAAGATAGAAATATTGGGGAAGCTGTACGATTGATAGATGACATGTTATTTTATTCTATGCATTATGGGGAACAAGGGAAAGGGTTTTTGTGTGCAGTGGATTTTGAGAAAGCTTTCGACTCTGTATCTCATAGATATTTATTTCAAATATTGAAATTGTTCGGTTTTGGAGATTCATTTTGCTCTTGGGTAAAATTATTGTATAAAGGGATAAGTAGTTGTGTTATGAACGGTGGTCACTCCACGGGGTATTTTGAAATAGAAAGGGGAGTAAGGCAAGGGGATCCGTTATCGCCATATTTGTTTTTGGTTGCCATCGAAATTTTGGCGCATGCAGTAAGGAGGGACAACGGTATTAAAGGGATTACATTTGGAAAATCTGAAATTAGGCAAGTGTTATATGCAGATGATATGACAATATTTTTGAAGGATATTGATTCGGTTAGAAGGTTGCAATATATTTTTGAATCATTTGAAAAAATTAGTGGTCTTAAAGTGAATAAAACAAAGACACATTTTATGTGGATGGGTGAGGATGAGAACAAACCTGATGGGCCTTTATTTGGAAATTTGGTTAAGGAAATACATATTTTAGGGGTTAGTTATTCATTAGATCGAAGTTTAAAAGATGATTTGAATTATAAAGAAATTCTAAGTAAAATAAAAAAAATTGCTTGTATGGTGGAAACAAAGAGATTTAACTATTATGGGTAAAATACATTTGCTAAAAACTTATGCGCTTTCAAAATTAAATTATATTTCATCTCTCGTTATTGTCCCTCATTGGGTTTATAAAGAAGTTGCAAAAATTTCATTTGAATTCATATGGAGGGGGAAAGATAGAATTAAACGGGCATTAATGTATCAGGATTATGACTTTGGAGGATTAAGAATGATTAATTTTGAAATGTCCGTTAAAATACAGCGCATAATGTGGATAAAACGTCTTTTATATGGAGAGAAAAGTTTGGGATGGAAATTGTTTTTTGATCATTGCTTACAGTTTGTGGGTGGTAGATTTATTTTTTTATGTGATTATGATTTAAACAAGATTAAACTCGTTTTAGATATTCCACCATACTATATGGAAATGTTGCAAGCATGGCAAGAGACAAGTAATTTAAGATATTTGGAGGGTTATATTAATCCAATTATTTTTAATAATCAGAATATATGTATAAATGGAAAAAGTATATTTGATAGATACTTGTTTGAAAGAGGGATTGTTCAACTGAATCATTTGGTTGAGAAAGGTCATGTTAAGCCTGTTAAATATTTTATGAACCTCGGTATGAAAGGTAATAATTTGCTTATGATTATTGATATTTATGATGCGATACCCAGGTTATGGAAGGATGATTCAGGGTTAATAGAATTCCTCGAGGTTGATTTGATAAGCTTTAATACTTATTTCCATATTTCTAGTAAAAAATACAGTTTGTGGATGTGGGTTCAAGAACAATCTATGATTATTTCATCAAAGCACTGCAACGAACGTATGATTTGCAGGTAAGGGATGGGCAAAATGATTATGATTTTTTAGATAAAGAATTAAAAGAAATATTTGTTAGACCAAGAATTACTATACTCATTAGAAAACAACGTGAATTTCAATTTAAATTATTGCATGGAGCCATATACACTAATGAGCATCTTCATAGATTTGGTTTTGTTGGTGATAATTTATGTTCGTTTTGTAAGCAGGAAATAGAAACATACAAACATTTATTTTTATCTTGTGGGAGCGTTCAAAGGTTATGGCAGGCTTTAATACAACTTTTTGAGTTAGATGAAATTAAAGATTTAGAATGGCGAGATATATTTGTTGGGTTGGTAGGTAGTTCATATAGAATAAAAATGTGTAATACTATCATTTTCATGGTGAAGTATGTTACATTTATGTCAAGATCGGGGGGGGGGGCGAGTACTAACTTTAGAAAAGATGAAAAAAAGCATTTTTAAGTATAGGGATGAGGAAAAGAAAATAGCAATTAAAATGGGAAAGCTAGGATCACATTTTTTAAAGTGGGAGCAGCTTAAGATTAATTAAGATTTGCTTTCTTCTCCACCGTGAGCTTGTTAAAAGCGTAACTCGATTTTGCGGCCTGGATAACTTATTTAGTATATTTTTCTTAAGTTGAGAATGTTGGCAGACATCCACTGAGTGAGTACTGTGTGTGTGTGTGGGGGGGGGGTGGGTGGGTGGGTGGGTGAGTATGTGTGTGAGTGGGTGAGTATGTTTGTGTGATAGAGGGTGAGTATGTCTGTGTGATGTAGGGGGCAGGGAGGGGGCAGGATTGTTTCAGTAAAATTATCTCCAGATTTGTTTTTTTTTGTAATATATAAGTAAATAACATTTACAATTGACATATTATGTTTAGGTACTTATACGTTTACTTTGTTGCTAAGTTATATTATACTGCAAATAAGTTTGTGTTTAATTATGTTTATGTAAAAGCATCAATATTGAACACGTTTATTTTATTCAATTGTATGTCATGGTTTGTATTACACATCTGGAGAAATAAAACAAAATTGTTAAAAAAAAAAAAAAAAAAGTGTGTGTGCGTGTACGTGCGTGTGTGTGTGTGTGTGTGTTGGATGTGTCTGCGTGTGATTTTTTACTTGTAATTTGTTAATTTTGTAAAAGGGGCACTAGTACACAAGATCTCAATTTTTTTGGGCTGCCCCTAACGATATGTTAACCTTATATATGATTATGGCACCATATCTCGCCTTGTTTATGATTATGATCTGTTGATCTATGAATTTTCTATTGTATTGTACATTTACTATTTTTATATTGTTGAATAAATGAATTGAATTTAAATGAATTGTATAGGCTTTGGCATACAGGCCATGCTCGGAGTAATTTTCAATGAAAGTATGTCTCAAGACATTTTTAATGACGTACAGCAATTTTAATCACACTTCTAGAAAAATCCTATCAAGTCTGGTGTAAGCAAGCTGTGAATCCTTGCACATAATAACCCCAGAGAGACGGATTTTAAACAACTACCCTATTGCTCTTCCGGAAATGTGCAGTAGTTGACAGTTCTAACAGAACTGTAAATTAACAATTTACTAATCGAACACCTTAACAGTACTGACCGCATCAATGCCAGGAACATCGGCATGCACATGGAGATGAACTTCAATCTCTTTGCCTCTTTCTACGGTTTCTGGGATGTATGGAGTGCACATAAGTTGGTGTCGGATCACCTGCTGTTCAAGAGGAATAAGAACCCACCACTCTGCACAGTGACCAATGTACAGCTCAAGATGTCTCTTGTACAATCTGCAGTATGGTGGTTCGGCTGGTGAGCTGGATGATCTCATTCTTGATGTTCTTGGTAGATCTATTGCCAGTGGGTAACAAAACAAAAATGCGTTTGTTTTAAGATGTGTTATTGCGCAATGGGGCCAAGTTGTCATTTAAACTGTAGCACCTGAATATGGTGACACCTAATATTTCTATCAGTAATGGTCTCCTTGTGGATAATAATTATTTCAAATGGTTTTCAGTTTGATAAGCCATCCTAACAAGCACCAACTCTCCGCTTTCACCCGTTTTCCTTTATTTAAAATTTCAACAGAATTGGAGTTATAAATTGTTCCTTACGACGTTATGGCGCTGTGATGACAACAATACCTAGAACTGGAACTACTGACCCCGAGATTACTTAGAAAGCATTCACAGTCCACAACCATAAATTAGCATATAGTATATTTTGCTTTCTATTACATACTCCTGTAATGGAAACTTAGAACACAACAGGGCATAGTATACTGAGAATATATATATATATATATATATATTTTTTTTTATTTTTTTTTTTTTTTTTTTTACCCGACTGCTAGGAAAGCAGTATACTTTATTTTTTTAAACCCAATTAGACAAACATCTTACCAAAGGGCACTAGCACATCGACTTGATTTCAAACCGGAAACTACCCGGTTACAAGACCAATCTCTTCCACTTACCAATATCGCAACTTCTCAGTGTTGTCCCGAATGTGCTTTGCCTGGTTTGCTGAAAAGGGATCTCAGGGAATCAATTTTCGTTTACTCCAGCAGTAAAAAAAAAAAAAAAATGAGTAGGTTTATGTATCTGACCAGATGGACTTACCGTTCACTGAATCCCATACATGAGAAACGATGTCTGGTTTCACTTGATCAGGATTGATGGCCAAGGTAGAGTGTGGTATCCTGATCTTAAGAGGTTGGTGGAAGGTCATGTTTGGAGGATCACATCTGATCCCATAGCAGGCCATTGATTCATCATCTTGGATGTCAACACTAGGAGGATCCCTTAGGAGGGTCAGGGTGATCTTGCACGGGTCATTATGATGAACAGCCTCCGGAGGAATAAACAGTGATACTCCATGGTCTTCTAGTTCGATTTCCGTACTTGTATTCCTTTCGACTTCAACAGAGAAAATGGCAGGTGTTGATGGTTCATCTGGTTTTTTTTCAAACATGATAAGGAAATGACGCGCTAATAAGAACATATAAAATAAACATTCAATTTATATGCACATTGGGATAATCTTTGAAATGGAAAAACAATAACTTATTAATATAGTTTTCATTTCGATCTTTTCCACAAAAGTAATTGACTTGATTACTGTTTCCAAAGGTTATGTTAATTACCCAAACTCTGATATATATAATATTTGTGTCTAATATTTTAATTAGGGCCTATGACAAATCAATAATGTTTTATCCATAACACTTCTTTAACAATATGTATCTGTTTTTCCTATTGTTCTTTCATTTAGGGCACATTCTCCGTTTATCTCTCGTATTTAGTCAATTAATGTAAACATAAGAGAGGCTTTGACATACATGAACACGAATGTAGTAAAATTAAGTATAATACCCAGACGATGAATTGTCAAATCCCTTGTTCTTTCTGATTGAACACCTGAAATGTCGTATTTAATCATCGCTAGACATTAATCCGTGACTTAATGGATCGGAGAAGGAAAAAAAGATATCAGAATCACTTTTTAGCTATCATACTAAGAAAAGCTGTTTGTGTTTGAATGATGCTCTTACCTCGATAGGACTGGATCTCCTCTAAAGAAGTTAATCTGAAATTAAGCATAGGTTGTTTTTGTATTTTTTCACACCAAAAGCAGAAATACATACATGTACATGATACTGGCAAAATACGAACAACATTACTGTTGAATGTTAGACGCTAATCGAGGCCCATTAATTTTAAAAAACGAGGCTCTAATCTTCGATTACGCATGAAAAGAGGAAAATGATACATACCTTTGCATCTGTTAATGCCGTAAAATACAATTCACCCAAATTCAAACATTTAAAGAACCACAGTTAGATAATATCTTCTAAACGAATTTGGAAGCAATAAATATAGCCTATCTGAGTAGAAGAGTAGAAGGAAAACAAAGCTGAAGTAGTCGACCTAGTACACTTGATTCATAGCTCCGAACATGTTAATTGTCACAGTTGTCGCATAATGTACAATTCTATTGTCCGAACAAAACATATACGACCAACTGTTAAGATTGACAGTAACACTTAGTGGACTTTTCTTTTTTTAAATATGTCATTCCGTTACCTAATCTCAAAAGAGCAAGATGGAAATACGCATTATTTCCTTGCTTTTTGATAAATCTCCTGTCTTACAAGTGACATGGCTGACGGGAATGTTATTTGTTAGACCTGAACAATTCACCTAGACAAAATCATTTGTTTGATCACTTCGTCCTTGGCATACTGGATTGGTAGGTTGCCTGTTTCATCCTTCACATCTAACTTGGCTCCATTCTCTAGGAGATAAAACACTAAGGCATGCTCAGGAGATAGTTCCCCATTGTAATTGTCATCAGAGATCTGAAACATACAAACATATATAATGTTTATTTTATTAGAACAGTTTTGTTCATCAATAGTCAGGGTGGAGGAGCATCATACGCACAGTTTAAAGTAGATATTCATTGATTTTAAAAGTTAACTTTATTTTCATTATTGTAAAGTTGAAACTTTAATTCCACAAGGTTATCAAAATTCAATGCTTGGAAACATTCGAAGTAATGATTTTTATAAATTACAAAACGCTTAAATACAGCCCGGCAAAGCACCTGAAGAGCTCTCCGAACGCTGCTGAGATGTGTGAGATCACAGTATGAACATGATTTGCACAAGCAGACGATGTTCCATGACATCTCACACATGTTCAGTGCCTGTGTTTTCATCTTCTCTTGAGTTCTTTCTCTTACTTCACTACCGTCAGGCTAAATGTATAATCTATTGCCTCACTCTCAACCCCGCGCATGGTTTTATTTTGATGACAAATGCAGCGACACAAAAATAAAGGAATCTGTCGCTTGAAAACAAAATAAAACGCCATTGTATATTCAGCTGCACACACCGCGGTATGTTCGGCGTTTTAAAAGGGAACAAATGACGTCCTTGATATCATTCCGGTGGTTTTTCAATTTGAAAGTCTGGTTTCTTTGATTGTTAATTAACCCCTATCCTGTGTATTTACAAGCAAAATATTTTAGTTATCAGAATCTGGTCATATCCCTTTTTGAATGGTTTGACATGCCATGACATTTATATACACTAAACTCAATATAATTTAAAAAACAATAGCTTTGCAATTATGTTCATTCTTTATGGGATGTCGTCTGCTTAGGCAGTATTGGTCCATATAGTGACGTCATCATGATTAAAACATCGTTATTTTTCCGGCGAATCTCTCGTATATCCCAGCTGCTATAGAGGCGGTTGTATTTGTATTTTTATAAATCACCCGATATGTAGTTGACCTAAAAATTTGTACGATGGCCATCTGTAACTTCTGTTAGATTACCAGTTTCTAGTGATACGTCAGTTGACATTTTTGTGATTTTCTTTGAATTTCACCCTTAACGCTGCCTCTTGGAATCATGGCAGTGGAAATCCCTATTTTCGTTGTAAACTTCCCAACACACACAAACAATCGCCCACACACCAACATATATATTGGGGGGGGGGGGCATTCACGGCCTATCACGGGTATCAGATTTTTGTTTTCACTAATAACCTAGAGGAGCAGTATATTTATGTCAGTGACACCGCCATAACGACTCCATGTAGACTCCAGAACTGACGTATATTTGGCCGTAATGTTAATTTGTTGTTCAGACTCTCGTTGGTCTGGTGTCGGTCTCGTTGGTGTTACTGGGGTAAGACTCACCTTTCTTAGTGTGTCAGTTTCTTGCACATTTTTCACGCTCTTATAGCAGAGTTTAATGGCTTCATGGAGACATATCTGGCCGTCAGCTGACTGGACATTGAGGTCAGCTCCCTCCGAAACGAACTTCTCAATGACGGACGTGTGACCGTGTTGTAAAGCAAGATGGATATCAGTTAAATCTTTCTGGACGAGCTGGATATAAGAAAATACGCAGCATGAAAACATGATAACTAATTATTTTTTATGCTAGGAAAGCCAAATTTCTTTGAACACAAGGGACACAAGTAGTTTCATGTGATCAATTAAATCCAATAATTCGAATACGTTCTAAGCAAACATTGTAACTTGTCTATAGAGTACATAAAAACAGCATCGAGGTGTAACTGATGTTATAATTACGTATGGTTACTATTGGTGATACAAAATTGAGTTGTTTAAGTCTGAACAAATAATGATAGGGAGCCTATGCCTAATATTCACTTAATTGTTCCAAAAGCATGTATTGAATAAACCAAGGTGGATAATTTCAAAATAAAGTGTGTTTTAATAGTTTTACCTTCGAATTTACACGGTCGAGGAATAGATCAGCGATGCTTTGGTACCCGAGAATTGAAGACAATTGTAAAGGTGTGTGTCCTTGAATGTCTACAACGTCTGATCTCGCTCCGCCTGCCAGAAGGACTTTAACGATATCAATGTTTCCATTCTCAACGGAATAGTGTAAAGGCGTCCTACCCGTATAATCTACCACATTCACTTTAGCTCCGTGACTGATCAGATCTTGTGTGATATCAAGATGATCATCCTGAGAAGCACTGTGTAATAATGTCCAATCGCGAAAATCTCCCACATTCACCTCAGCTCCTTGACTGATGAGATACTTGGCGACATCAAGATGATCCTGCTGATAAGCAAAGTGTAAAGCAGTCCTACTGTCAACAACTCCCTTATTCACATCAGCTCCTTGGCTGATGAGATATTTTGTGACATCAAGATGACCTCCCTCAGCAGCACAGTGTAATGCCGTCCTACCGTCAACGACTTCCTTATTTACATCAGCTCCTTGACTGATTAGATATTTGGTGACATCGAGATTACCATGGAAAGCAGCGCGGTATAATGCTTCTTTTTCCATATTAGCTTCATGAATGAGTATAATTTTCGTTGCTTTAAGACGCCCGATTGATGCAGCAAGAATTTCGTGTTTTGTCCGTCTGGATTCGCCTTCTCGGCATTAGCACCTTGGTTTATGGGATACTCAGTATTGTATAGCCTTCTTCACCGCACTATGTAAACTTTTATTTCAATCTTTGTCTGGTTTATGATGTTCCCTGTCTTAGCAGTTTCTGGTGCTTTTGATTTTACCCCTTCAATGCTACCTCATGAAACTGCTGATGTCTTCCATACTCGAAGAAGCACCGGTTTACCGGACATCCGAAAAAAGAACAGTTCCTTGTAATCGTCTACTTCTCTCTTAACGTTCGATATCGAAATGTTACAATTAAGAATCTAAATCTTTTGTAGCAGATAAACCAGTTGCATTTGCAGGTTACAAGCATGAGCATACACCACACTGTTTTTTCTTTCTCGCATTGTGCAGCTGTAATTTTTGTCCAAGTTCCAAAGTCCAATGCAATGAGCTAAATCATGATTCAAATATATGTCATTCATGACAAAAGGAAAACATGTACATTGTTTGGAAAGAGCGCAAACACCTTTCAAGTCTACTGCAGATCAATAGAATTTTCTTTTGTATGATTTTATGTGATTTCATGCCCACTCTTGTAATGATAACCCATAATGTGTCATTAAACCATTTTTGTAAAGACCCTCCTCGTAAATCCAATGTATAATTCTGCCTATTATTCTTAGAGTAATTTTTATTTTTGAAATTCCCCTATAATGTTGCGCCTGTTTTTGGCATCGCTTCAAATACTGAAGTGGGTACCATTGTGCATTATGTACACTCCATTATTATAACCTCTCTGTTATTCGGTTTGTGACAAAATAGAATTCACGAAGTAAAATAGGTTTCGTTTTTTTTTATTTTTTACGACTAACAATGTATTGAACTCAATCGTTTCGAGAGAAAAAATGTCGTTATAGGTGAAATGAAATGTAGAAATGAATAAATCAAACGCCGGATGAATTCACATTCAATAAGCTCAACCAAAGGCATAGAAACCATTGGAAATAAGAACATTTGAGCGATAAAAAGCTGAACTTGTAAAGTAGATGGTGGAATGCCTGGCTGTGGAACGA